ATCATCATCATCATCATCATCATCATCATCATCATCATCATCATCATCATCATTATTACCTCTGTGGAGACAGCCATCATGGCGTACGCCGTGCAGATCACCAGCTCGTACAGGAGGTAGGAGGAAGCGCTGTGCTGAAAGTCCAGGAGTCCACACACACGGAAGGACTTCCCCTGGCCCACCGTCTCGCAAACCAGAATGTTTTCCACGTTGAGATCCCCATGGATATGACCTGAATAAATAGAGTAGTGGGTTAGGTTGTACTTTCGAACCTGCCCAAGATGAAAATCCATTATAGTCAATGAGAAATGTGGTTGTCTTAGACAAGCGGTCCTCTTGGACTGAGTCATTATATATATATGTATTAATATATGTGCGTATATAATATATAGATCTATGAAGAAAATGTTTGGGGAAAGTGAGAGTTGGTAATTTGCACTGCAGGTTTCACTGTAATTTTAATTGTAATATTTCACCCTATTTCCATTGTAAATATCATTGTAATATTTCAACCCCCCCCCCTTTTCCAAACCAATGACATCCTCCAACCACCCAGAATGTTTTTTTTTTAATGAAGAAGAGAGTATCTCAGATTTGAAATTCGTGCGCGCCGTGCACACAGAACAGGGGAAAAAACTGGGTAGATCCCACATTTGTATTTCGCGGAGAGAAATAATTTGCGTTGTTTCCCTTGAACATTTGGATAGGGTTCAAGCTTGTTTGTTGTCTTCAAAGTTCTTATAAAAATATTAATTTGTCGTATCCAAATACCACATCTATTCCAACACTACTTATTAAAAAAGAATTATACACAAAATCCCTACAAAATGAAGGTGGAGGGAGGAGAGAGAGAGAGAGAGAGAGAGAGAGAGAGAGAGAGAGAGAGAGAGAGAGAGAGAGAGAGAGAGAGAGAGAGAGACAGATTGACTTCCACTAGGTTTAGAAGGTACAGACAGTACTCTAGCATATCAGCCTTTGCGGCTCCATTATAATTAATCATGCTGTACTCAGGTAAGCAATTTTTGTTGAAAAGAATGAATGAAGGAGAGAGAGAGAGAGAGAGAGAGAGAGAGAGAGAGAGAGAGAGAGAGAGAGAGAGAGAGAGAATGGGAAAAGGAGGAGGGAGGGATGGAGGGGGGAGAGAAGGCCGGGTTTGTCCTGTGAACGGAATGACTAACCGGGAATGAAGAGAAAGACAGGAGAAAGTCAGCACAAGTTTGCTTTGTTGTGGTTTGGCTAAATGGATTGGATTTTTATATTGTAAGCCCTTCTTTCTTTCTTTCTTTCTTTCTTTTTTGCTTTCATTCTATAATTTTTTCATTCTTTCATCCATTCTTTCTTTCTTTTTTGCTTTCTTTCTTGTTTTCTTTTTTGCTTTCTTTCTATCATTATTTCATTCTCGAGATCTCTCGTCCATCCATTGTTTCTTTCTTTCTATCTATATATAACTCCAAAGGTCTAGTATTTAAATTCCTACATGTGGTTGAATGATGCATTTGATGTAAATATACATTTGTCAGCTTTACTTCTCGTTTCATATTGAATTTTAATGAGAGCAACATATATAATATACATATTTTTAATGTATACCTGCATGTGTTTTTATGGTCCTGTACAGTCAAAG